TTAGCTCACGCTCGGGAAATAAAAACAGGCAACAAAATTTGATATTTTCATTACAGCTAATGACTTGACTAATTACTTGTATTTGTGAATAATGTTAATTTAATTATATTTTAGAAACTTGAAACCTATCTGATATTACACAGATAAGACAGCATAAATGTCCAGAAAACAAAAATAATTAATATCATAATTAAGCAAACATTTAAGTAAATAAGCAAAAAAATAATTTATTGCAGTAACAAATGTGCACGAAGACGTTAACTTGTTGTTCATAAATCACAAACTTCATTACAAATAACATAGGTGTGCTTACATTTTTTTTTCATAAATATTTAGTTGCCAGTCTTTAAAAAAATGCTTGACCTTACCCTTGAATTTACTGAAGTATGCAAACTCTTAAGGAATTTCTATTTTTGTATTTCAGGATGTAAAATGGAAAGTTCGGCAGATTTATCTAATTAATTACAGTTTGTTAACACTTGACTTGCTAATTAAGCGTTGCAAATTCAACAGAAAACCGAAATATTTATTTATCCAATTAAAAATCTCATCCTTAATTAATGTTTTATTATTCCCCTACATTCGGTAAATTCATTTCGGTTAAATTGGAACAACCTAAACGGGTACTCACTTAACAAGCATGTCGGCACCATCAAACATTGACGACACCGATAAAAAAATTGCCAACATATGTTTTATACCGTACGAAATTACTCCTTCATTATTCGAAGCCCAGGATCATTCATCATCACATAATTGCACAATAAAAATAAGAGGTTTATGGTCAGCCATCTCCACACATGCGAACATCGCTTTTCAAATTTAGAAATTTGCGTACTTGCGGCACGAAAAAAATTCCATACCTTTTAAGAAAAATGACAAAGTGAGAAGGAGTAGTGGTCAGTTAAGTGAGTAAAGTATAGCTTATGCATAGGAATGTCAGGAAAGTTGTTAGTGTGCTGATGATGAATACCTACCTACTTTATCACATTTAATTTTTTTTACTTTCGAGGACATGTGGTCACTTTCTAGACAATTATTGCATCTTTGTTATGCACGGATGGCTTTTTTAATAGTGGTAATGGCAGATTTGCCAAATTGCCACTATTAGACCGTTTTTTGGCCATCGAATTAGAACAGAACGATTTAATAGACGAGTCGCTTTTGGACTAATAATAGAATATTCTTCAGCATAACTTTTAATTAACGGTTATTATTGTTAAATCATACTACGTACATCACTTACATTAAAAGTACAATTTATGCAAACTTAAGTGAACAAATAGGTGGTGTAACCAATACATAATAGGCAACAGAGTTCTAATTGTTTATCTGATTTTGTAGAGCTTGTTGTTTAGAAAAGTATGCTGCATAAATTAATCAGTTGACGTTGGTCGTATTAGAATTAATTAAAGCAGATAAAAAATAGAGGAAAAAACCTGATGCACTAGTTGATGGCGCCAATCTTGTGACACTAATTTTCTTATCGGTTGTTGTTTTTTTATGTATCACTACGATCATTTTCTTTATTCCATATATCTAATATGTACTTTATTTTTAAATTTCAAGAATAACCAATACTGAATCTTTTTAAACAAAACTCTCTAAAATGGCGAAATATTTTCTAAATGAAATAATTACCTAATCACCATGTTATCACATACGAAAACATAAGAGTTAAAATGCATAACATCATTTTTCTCCCTAGTTTTACGTTTTATGTTTTATATTTTTACAAACTATAGGCTGACAATTTTGCTTTTTAACGGCTTCAAATATTCTTCTCATTTCTTCAGCTTTCTCAACTGCTTTTCCCCTAAAAAGTAATTTTTACATACACTATTTACACGTTTGTCGGCACTTACTCTTCAGTAAAAGTATTTAACAAGTTTTCGACATGTTGTTCGGCACTTTGAGTTGTGCTGGCACTCAGAATTAGTTCGCACAAGATTCTATCTTCACATCCTATCGAATTAAAGTAATTTAATGAAGAAACTAATTTATTTTTTGCTGATTGTCCAGAATCCACGGCTCTAGACCTTGATTGTCTAAAAATAAAAAAATATATTAAAACAATTTTAATAATTAATAATTTTTAATTGCAGACTTAAGACAATTAATTTTTTTTTAATATTGCAAAAAAACTTGAACTAACGAAATGTAATGCTTTTTTTTAACTTATGTAATAATAATTACTTATGTTCGGATTCCTATAAAAAAATTTAATTTTTCAAATTAACATTGACGTTTATTTTTAGCTTAAATTTATCTCACACAATTTTGTACCCCTCTAATAGAAGTTGTATCCTGTTGGGGACATATTTATTTATTTATTAGTTTAAAAATTATTATTATAAACTGTTGAGTCATTGTTATTGAAATTATAAACAGCGGTAAGATAAGATATATTAAAAACTGTAACTGTCACTTCCTGACAAACTGAAAAAGTTTAAATAAAAAGAATCGCTGAAAAAATAATGATTAATTAAAAATTAACAGACTCCTTTCATTTCTATGCAAAGATTATATAAATACATATACTGAAAAGACTTTTTAACAGAAAACACGATGTATATTTTAAAAATATTACAACAATGTTAACACGCTGTAGCTAAACATACTTAAAAAATTGAATACCAAGCAAGAAAGTTTTTTATAACCGAAAATTTTCAAACTGATTCTTGAAAGTAAATATTATAGTTGTATATGAAACTATTTTGAAAAATAATAGATAATAATAATCTGCAACAAGTCTTCGCCTCCGAATAAAAATTTTTCAGTCGAACAGAGCAGACCCACTTTGCGTTAAGATCCATAATTTACCGTTGATGTACTTAAAATCTTCAATGATAAAAAAACCTTCTCTTACCGAAAATTAAAAAAAGCTTTAGACAGATCAAAAAGGTGTTTTTAACATTATTGTCGTTAAAAAACAAAAACAAAATTTCACGTAAATTTTAAAACTTGACGTGATAAAACACAGAAAAGCATTTTAAAACCTTTGAAGTTTCAAGAAAAATTTCGATTTACCGCAACACTTTAATAAATAAACAAAAATTATAACAGCAAATTTCAGAAAATCGAAACATTCGTAACAACTGACGACATTTCTCAAATAAGATTGCTTGTTTCCTAGCCTATATATAGTAAGAGTCAGTGACAGGGAAATTATAATTTAACTCTTTAATAAGCGGCAAATACATTTTAATATGCCGATTTTAAATTTATCAAAATGCCGAAAATTACTTTTTATGAACTTTATCAAGAATTTTATTATATTATTCGATTCTTAACAAAAAAGAAATGGGCAAAACATTAAAATGAAAACATAAATTAAAGAATAATTCTAGGTTTTTTGTGTAAAGTGCTATTTATACAAGCTACTTTCATTATTATAGACTAAAGTGCTTTGGAATGAAAATATTACATAGATATATGACATATTATAGTTAATCATTTTTAAAATACCTGCCATTATATACAGCAACTTGTGTAACAAGAACTAAGGCGTTTTATCAAACTTACGTTCCGTTGACTGACTGGACTGTAATCACCGTTGGTGTTAAAGCACTAATTAGCAAACCAATAGGGATAAATGCCGTCAAAAACTTTATAATTTTCTTCCACGGATTGCCCTGCATCCCGTAAGTTGGCGGTTTTTCAATTGCCCCAAAATCGAAATTACTTTTTTCTCCAGCACCAGTAGTAGTAGTACCATAAGTAGGAACAGAGGCAACGGGAGCAGTAAAATCAAACTGATTCTTCTGAATAGTCTGCTTGTTTTTCTCATAATTTACAAACTTGTTCCATTCTTCGATCGTGGGTAGGTTACTGGGATCTACGGGTTTGCTCTCATAAGTATCCGACTTCGATGGAACGCTGTAAGTTTTTCCAGTCGAGCTCTTATGGTTATAGAATTGATACGGTCGATCTTTTGATGTTGGTACCATCATCGTTGTGGTAGTTGTCGGAAATCTTATTCTCGTTGTCCAAGATTGTTCGGTCGTAAATCTGCTCTGAGGCTTGTTTATCCATGTTTGTTCTGTAGTAAAACCACCTTGAGGCCACTGAACTGGAGGTTCTCCCAAATTATAAGCGGAAAAATGTTTGGCTTCTGGGAAAGCCGGCGGTACTGGAAATTTGTTGAACTCGAAATATGTTTCCAAATGTGGGCTAGGTCTAAAATCCGATTTTCCTTTATGTATTGATGACGAATTTGTTGCCGGTGGTGTCGTAAGTGCTCTTTCGATATTTTGACTTTGAGCTGAAGGCTGTATTATTCTATGCAATTCAAACGAGGAGTTACGTGGAGTTGATTTATTTTTAAAATCAGAAGCTTCTTCAAATGTTTCATTTTTAAACGTAGATATTTCTTCGCAGTTAAATATTCGGAATATAAACATGAAACTTAAAAAAAACCGCATTGCAACACACTAAAACCCGAGTTTTACTAGAAAATAAAATACATTTTTATGTACTTGTATTTATAAACAATTTTGTGAAGGAGAAGAAGCACGAACAATAGTTGTGTATTGTGTTTATGTCTCCATATCGAAAGAAAGTTCATCAATTTTTGCAACCATTACATGCTCTAGATCCATTTTACAAAGCAAACAATTCTTCCGATTTTCTTTTAAATGTGAAAGCTTCCCTCTTAAAACAAAAGACGACGCAGTTGTATAAGTGCCCTCTAGTGGTGACAACTTTAATTAAATGTAAAAGTATGGTCTAGCGAATCCGGTATAAATCAAATGTAAATTTTCGATCGTATATATTTTACCCAATAAATCTCTAATTAGGCTAAATTTCGATAACTACGAAACCAAGTTTTGACTAAAACGTCAAAATGTATTTAAAAAAATTCATTACAGTCTGTAACAAATTAATTATTTTAGATAAATTGAATTCATGTTCGGTCATTTCTAGTTACAAAAGTGTGATCCAGTTGGCGCTATGTAGGTCAATCTCCTATCGATGAAAACGCTTTCTGTAAATTGAATAACTTTGAGGGCTGTTCTAGGTTCTATGGTATACGTTGACAGATGTCAAAAGACATGAACACGTTTGTAAACAGACGAAAAGTTCGATAAAAGTTGGGAGCTCAATACGCCAACAGGATGACAGACGCTAAATTAGAGGTACAAAAGTTTGTATAAATAAAGTTCATGCAGTAAATGTTGTTACTTTAATTAGATGTTCGACGATGTTGGTGGTCTTGTCGAAGGAGAAATGTCCATTCCAACCAATAAAAACACCCAAAATATAGGTAAACCTGACTTTAATACGTTAGATGAACCTATTCGGGATACGATAGTAAGTTCTAAGGTGTATGTATGTATAACATTAACTTTTCTGTTTAAAGTTGCGAGATTTAAAGGCTGTCGGAGTCAAATTTGCCCATGTACTATTTCCAAAAGAGAAGAAGACTTTACTAAAAGAATGTAAGTAAAGTAATCTTTTAACTATATTTAAAAACATTACTGTAGGGGACTTATGGGGACCTTTAATGTTATGCACATTTATGGCAATGTAAGTTATAACTTACATTTGTTATAACAAATGTTATGAACTGTATGCATTGTAGGGTTTTACAAGGGTCAAGCACAGTGGATAATTCCAATGATGGTGGGCCAGAATTTGCAGAAGTATTTGTTATAGTATGGATAGGTTCAATGGTGGTAACACTTAATTCTAAGTTACTTGGAGGAAACATGTAATTTGGACATTTCCATAAATTGTTATTCATTAATTTCTCTTTAATTTTAGTTCCTTCTTCCAAAGCATTTGTGTATTGGGTTATTGTTTATTACCCACAACTTTAGCACTAATTGTCTGTAGGATAATCCTGATGGTAGAACAAACACCTATGTTGTTTTTTTTAAGGTTCACTGTTTCAATGATTGGATTTGCTTGGGCTACATATGGTATTATTATTTTTTTTATATATATTTATACAGTTTTTTACTAACGCCAAGTTTTTTAGCTTCTATGGTATTTTTAGGAGATAGCCAGAAGCCAGGTCGAAAAGTCTTAGCAGTTTACCCAATATTTTTATTTTACTTTATAATATCGTGGCTTGTCATATCACACACAAACACATAAAAAGCTTACCATGAGTGTATATAATTTATTTATTAGATAAGCATTTCTTGTAAAGTATGACAGATTCCATTGTTTGTATGTATAGATTTAATAAAGTAAAAGATGTTTTTGTGAAAATTCATGAATGTTTTAATGTATACATTATAATACCAAAGCAATTGAACAAGATATTAATGAATGTTTAAATCTTAGAATTTTTCAATAAACGAAACCGAAAACCGGTACTCTCATGACAAGTATACTATTTGACAAATAGTTCTTCGCCGCAAAATTAACGCATAATTTGTAATTTCAAAAAAAAAAAGTGATGACCATGGTTTTAAATTGTATATATGTTACAGCTAATATCCGAAATCCGTTATTATGCATAATAACTAGACATTTTAGGAATTATGCGTAATAACTAAACTTGTCAGTTATTATGCGTAATAACTGAAATTTTCAGTTATTATGCATAATAACGGAAACGTTTAGGTAATATTGATAATAACTAACAGAGGAACAGGAATTATGCATAATATTTTCAAAAAAGCTACCCACCCTGCCTCCCTTTCCCCTACATATCACATGTACAGTTGATTTAAAAAAAACGGGACAAATTACAGTAACAGAAACGTCATATTCCCATTGCTTTTCATTGATCTATGAGAACCTGAATTGATCATCTTGTCCCGTTTATTGTAAAATCAGCTATTTATGCATAATTTCTATTCCTCTGTTAGTTATTATCAATATTACCTAAACGTTTCCGTTATTATGCATAATAACTGAAAATTTCAGTTATTACGCATAATAACTGACAAGTTTAGTTATTACGCATAATTCCTAAAATGTCTAGTTATTATGCATAATAACGGATTTCGGATATTAGCTGTAACATATATATCCCACCAAAAAAATTATAATAACAATAATACACTGACCGGCAAAAAAACGGCCACCCTGAAAAATTTCGCAAAACCAAACCTTAAAAATTGGTCTAAAGAGTTTAGACAGTACTTCCCTCGCTGTCGGAAACGTGACGACTGCATGTCTATTACGTTTTTTTTTCGCAGTAGATTTCATTTTTTTTTTGAGTCACCCGGTATATGCAAATTCAAAAAATATGAATGGAGTGATAAATTACAAGTACAGACTCTTCATATTTTGTACAGTTTAGATAGGATTTATTCGGCAAACTTTCGAGCTGACGTCATCAATTTTTTGGAGGGGATAAGCAAAAATATTTTGACTAAACATTTATCATGCTCTTTATAACCTTAAAACATCTGCAAGATTTCAAAGCATTCGGTTTTGTAGTTCCTGATTAACTCAATAAAATAAATTCACGCATTTATTATTTTTTTTGAGTCACCCTGTATATGGAAATCGAAAAAATTTGAATGGAATGAGAAATGACAAGAAGAGACTCACCATATTTTGTACATTTTAGATAGGATTTATTCGGCAAAATTTTGTGGTAACGTCATAAATTTTTTAGGGGAGATGAGCAAATACATTTTGATCAAAAACTTACCATGCTTATGATAACTTTAAAACACCTTCAAGATTTCAAAGCATTCGGTTTTGTAGTTCCTGAGTAAATCAGTAAAATAAATTTACGCATTCATTAATTTTTTTGAGTCATCCTGTATATGCAAATCCAAAAAATATGAATGGAGTGATATATCACAAGCACAGACTCATCATATTTTGTACATTTTACATAGGATTTATTTGGTAAACTTTTGAGCTGACGTCATCAAGTTTTTGGAGGGGATAACCAAATATATTTTGAGTAAAGATTTATGATGCTCTTTATAACCTTAAAACATCTGCAACATTTCAAAACATTCGGATTAGCAGATTCAAAATTAAATTGCAAAATGTTGTTTTATAATTTTGATTTTTTTTCCAAAAATCTGGACGTTTCGGGTAAAAACTCAATTCGGTGTCGTAAACTACATGTTTAGGACTATATTATTTTATACAATTTAAAACCCATTTACTATGTACAATTTTGAAGTGACGTCATGACATTAGTGGTGGGGATGATTAGACAAATTTTGGTGAGCGTTTTACAATCTACATGATATTCCTAATATACATGCAAATTTTGACAGCAATCGGTCTAGTAGTTTCGGAGATTATTGGTCTAATAAAAATCGACACAGACAGACAGGAGACCACTTTTTTTGTAGTCTTAGGGTCATGAAATGTCGAGAACACATGAAAGTAGCCGGTCGCCTGATGGACTCGATTTTCAATACTTCTCTATTACTACTCATTAGCTTACGCTCAGGAAGTGTACACTGGAATTACTAGACAAAGTTTGGTTAGCGTTTTACTATCTTACATGATATTCATAATACATACATCTATAAAATTTGACAACAATCGGTCCAGTAGTTTCGGAGATTACCTGTCTAATAAAAATCCGGAGAGTTGGCAGACAGACAGACAGACAGACATGGGAGACCTATTTCTTCGTGCTCTAATCTAGGGGTAATGAAAGGTCGAGAAAACATAAAAGTAGGGGGTTGGCTGATTGATTCGATGCTACCTTACCTTACGCTCAGGAAGTAAAAAGATGTAGTTAAAAGGTGGTTAAACTAAACAATAGTATTAAACTAAGAACTTAGCAATAATAGCTTCTCGTATATCGTAATTTATCACGATACTAATGTTTAAACATGCAAGAAGCAGAAATTATTATCATGTGTATTACTGGTTGCACCATGTATTTTTAGGTATTGTTTACACAAAAGCTAAACATGATTCAGTGCAGCACAATTATCATGAGCTGATAAAAGATCCTTGCTAAAAACATATATTTTATATTTTACAACTATTTTGGAAACATTAAGTTTCATCTAAAAAGATGTGGGGATGTGCATTTACATTTTATATTCAATGTTTGTATATTTTTTCTGGGCATGCCATTATAACAATTGCTATACAGTGCAGAGATGATAACAATCAGGATGTAGATTGGTAAGACATTTTATATCAAGCTCTGACTACATCATAATTTGGATTTAGGTTTGCAGTTTATAAAATACCAAAGATGACGCACGAAAACCACCTCATTAAAGATGGGCTTGCTTACACTTATGTTACCTCAGAAAATTATTCTCAATGGACGCTTTCACAATACTCTGTAAATGATAGCCGTTCTATGATAGGAAATACTCTTAATCCATTTTATTCCGAAAAGGTAAGACCGCTGAAATTAATAATTTAACTTTATCACACCATGCCTCTTACAGAAAAATCTTTCATATGTTCTATACAATGATCAACCTCCAAATGAACCGAGTAAACCTTACAAGGGACACACCAAAGGAGTGATTCTAGCAGATGTAGATGGTGGTTTGTGGCTTGTACATTCCGTACCACATTTTCTGCCTCTGTCTTCAAAATATGAGTATTCTCCCACTGGAACTGTGAAAGGTCAAAGTTTCCTCTGTATTTCTTTAGACCTAAAAAATTTGAATAAAGTGGGAATCCAATTACAATATAATGAACCTCAAATCTATGCTAGCTATATAGAAGAGATATTAGATACCAAACTGTCTCATATTGTGGATGCTGTTTCTGGTACAGTTGTCACTAAACCACCTTGGTACAATGAAATTACCATTAATTCCAAAAGTGGCGTTCAATTTATTTCGTTTGCAAAAACAAAACAGTTTGGAAAGGACTTGTATCACGACTGGATTGCGCCTGCTTTACATACAGATTTATTTGTAGAAACATGGCTGAATGGTGTTGGGGAGTTACCCTCAAACTGTAGCAATTCTGTCAGGTATTATGTAATAAAATGTCTTAGCAATCTGTTTATTCCTTCTTTAGTGTTTGGAACGTTAATATTGTTGGATTGCCAGTAACAGATGTGTCATTTAGAAATACTGAAGATCATTCAAAATGGGCGGTATCAGTTCTTGGTCCATGGACTTGCATTGGAGACATCAACAGAATGGTAATTTATCCAGTTGCACTACAACAAATCTCAACTTCTTTTTCTAGAATCATCAGAAGTTTCGAGGAGGTGGATCTGTCTGTCTGAACAACCAAAAATTAGCAAAAATATACCTGGGATGTGTTGAAGCATTTCAAAAATGCATAAGTAATTTTTTGTAACTTTAATATCTACTTATTTACAATAAATCATTTAAAACTAAAACACAACTACTGTGATGATGGTTTATAATAAATTTTGGTTGAAGGTTGTGGGCAACGATACTTAGCCATTTCTATTTCAGCTTGATAGTAACTGTTCTTATCGTAACAGAAATATTCCGGGTTCTTGTATGCCGTGTTTTTTGCAGCTCCTGGTCCCACGGGTTCGTTTGGCACATTTACAACATCTTGACTTAATCCGGGTACACTTGAAGGTATATTTGAACTGGTTTTTCCTTGTTTGTTGTAAATTATTTTTCCGCCAGTAAAAGTTCGTATAAATGACGAAAAATTACGCAATTTGCTGAAGTGTCGCGAAACAATTGCAGCTGAAGCCATGTTTGCAGGTTAAATTGATTTAAATTGGGGTTAGATGAATGTGACAGCAAATTTTGTAAAATTTGACAGTTATATAACAACAAGCAATGTCTCCAACCATAAAACAGATAAACTGATTTCCGAATTTACGATTGTTCCAATTTAGTAACTTTTGGTGTCTTTAACCTTCAACGCACTCTTAATTTCACGTGTTGGCAGCCGTTGGAGGAAAACGAAGCACAGAAACGAAGTGGAAACGAAGCTATTCGCTGACTTGAAAAACTTTTTTGCGTACTTTTTTTCAGCCCTTATCAGACCGCTGTTAAATGTGCTTGTTGTTTTTTGAAAAATAATTTTTAATTATAAGTTTTAACGTGTAGTGTGGTTGTATTAAAAAAGGTAGGTTAAAATCTAGTTGGGTACTTGTCCGCAGCCTTTTGTTGTCTTTTGCAGTAAAATGCCCCCAAAAAAAAGTAAGAAACCAAGCAGGAATGGTTATTGGGAGTTTGTTCTGGAATGCAGGGACAAACAACCCAATAAACATATGAACATGCAGGAATTACAGACATACGCTAGTAGGAAGTGGTCGGTGAGTTAGTACTTATTTTTAAGATTACTTATCTGTAACTACAAGTATGAGGAGTAATGTAAGCTTTAATAAGTGATTTTCAAGTTTTTTTCTTGTGACAAAATCTTACTAGCTGGAAGTAAAATATGTAAATCAAATCTTCAAATTCTGAAATTCAGGTTAGAGATCTAGACTTGGTGGAGTGAGTTATAACATCCTTATAATATATGTACAGTTCTAATCACATAAATCCCATACAAAAACTTTCAATTTTTTTTTGTAATTTGTGCCTTTTTTGTCAGACTGACGTTTGTTTTTCAAAAGGCATGTTTCTAAGTTATAATGGCAAGAAAACTAAGTGAAAATGATGACATACGCATTTTAATGCTATTGGAAAATGGTTATACAATAAAGGAAGTTGCACAGTTTTGTAATATAAAACAGCCGATTGTTATGAGGGTGAAGAAAAGGTGGGAAAACGAGGGAAATATCAGTAGGAAAAGTAAGGGTTTCGACTTAGGAATAAGACAATAATTTAATCCAACATTTGCGAGATAATCCTTTTGCAAATGCAAGAAGTGCTATAACAGAAACCAATTTTTCTGGTTCACGACGAACAGCGAGCCAAACAATCCAGGAAAGGGTGTTGAGATACGATCAGGCAGCCAAGAAACCCTTCTTAACTTAAGAAAATAAGCAAGCTAGATTAATGTATGCTCTTAACAATTTTAATATTGAACTGAGTTTTGGGAAAATGTAATATTTTCGGATGAAAAAATTTTAAGTGTGCAAACAATGGAACCGTTCATGTTTATCAACCTAGAAATATGTAGTAGAATTTGAAGTCAGATATGTACACCGTAATAATAGGCAAAGTAGATTTTCAGTAAATGTATAGGGTTGGATAAGTGCCCATAACGCTGGAATGTATTTGAGGATAGATTAACAGTTTAAGAGGAGTCGCTACATTTGGCTCTTATGGTGGTTCAATATATTTTCAGAATGTATATCTCCATTATTAACATACCTATTGTTATGAAATTTTAAATGTAACTTGTCCACAATTTTCACTACATAACTGCCAGGGTAGTTTTTTTAAAGAATTTATTACCATATATTTTTTAAATTTTGTTGAAATTTTTGCATCACGTATTTTAAAAAATCAATATTTCACTTATTTATGGAAATTTTGGAACGGGGTTGCCACCACTGTTTTCAGCTTGCAAAACTTTGGAAATCGTACTAGGTCTATTTTTGAATCTATTTGTTGGGACTGAGACATAGTACAAATAAAAGTTAGCGACTTCTATGACACAAGCTTTTTTTTGCTGTGTATCGTTTCTAATAAAAAAAATCGACGATATATCTGATGTGATTTCTGGAGTTTTGTAAGCTGAAAACCGTGTCCTGAAATTTCATTTAATAATTGAGAATTGATTTTTAAAAATTCGTTCTGCAAAAATTTTAATAAAATTAAAAGAAAAATATGATCACAAAGTATTTTTGACAAAATTGTCTATTAGTTTTGTGGAATGTAACCAATAAATTTAAAACTAGTTTTGCAGTGAAAACTTTAAATCTATGCACAATGTTGCGTAATATATAATTTTTCCAGAAAAAGTTGTCTAAAATGTCATCTCCAAAGTTTAAGGGGTGCTGAAGTATTCATTTTTATAAAAGTCGTGAAAGTGAGCAGAAAATATTAAGTGTCCACTCGTTGTTAAAAAAAATTGCAAATTTTTCAAGTTAAAGCACTAATTTAAAAACAAAGTTGTACTCAAATCTATTAACAAATGCATAGACATAGATTGTATGATTTAAATCGACCAGTTTTATTTAAAGAGTGGCATGTATCTATGATAATGATGTTAATATGAAATGTAAGAACTCCTTTTTTTAGTAATGCAAAAGGGAATAAAGTTAAATTTCTGTTAATTTAAATATGATGACATTGTGGTACAAATTATGGCCGCTTTGTTACGAAAAAGACCGTAGAAAGTGACACTAACGATTTTATTGCAAAGGAGCCAGCTTTAAGATCATTATAACTTCACCAAAATGTAAGAAGGAATTTTTTACTATTTTTTCCGGTTCATCAGTTCGTTGTTAGATATGCAGCTATTTTAGATCTCGTTCTTGTTAACGATAACTTAATTTCAACAATATAATATATCACCAATAGCTTTTTGAGGGTACCCTATCCCCACCAACAACAGTGCGATGACGTTATCACAAAACTGTACATAGTAAATGAATTTTAAATTGCATAAAGTAACATATGTATATGTAGTTTATGAATACGTGTTGAGTTTTCCCCAAGGTATCCAGATTTTTGGAAAAAAGGCAAACTCATATAGCAACATATTGCAATTTAATTTTGAATCTGCTGTTTTGAAATTTGCTTTAAAGTTATCGTAAACATGGTAAATTTTTAATCAAAATAGATCTATCCCTTCCAAAAAATTGATGATCGTATCTCAGAATTTTGCCAAATCAATCTTATCGTAAATGTCGAAAATATGATGAGTGTATACTTCTGATTTATCATTGCCTTCGTATTTTTAGAATTGATTATACAGGAGTACCCAAAAAATTAATGAACGAGTCAGTTGTTTTTCAGAATGTTTTGAAACTTTGCAGACGTTTTAAAGTTATTGTATGTAAGCATGGCAAATTTTTAACCAAAATATATGTTTATCCCCCTCCTCCCTAAGAAATTGATGATATGATGAAAATGTGCAAAATACGAGTCTAAACTTCCTTATACAGGTGACCCAAAAAGATTAATGAATGAGTCAATTTAATTTATGGATTAAATCAGGAACTGCAAAATCGAATGATTTGAAATCTTGTAGACGTTTCAAGGTTATCGCAAGCATGGTAAATTTTTAATCAACATATAACTGTCTAACCAACCTTCCTCGTTTTTTCGTGAGACAAAATACATTTAATAAAATTTATCACTGTCTAGAACGAGTCACCCCATTTTCTCGAAAATGTGAGATTACGCACTTCTTTATTTATAAGAATTATAATTATATATATAATATTCAGAACATTTTGTTCATTTGTGGCTAAATTAATAATTTTAATCCTCTGTTTTGAGGCGACGCTCATTCAGACCAAACTAATTTCTACGTGACATTCTTCCGATGTATAAATATAAATACTTCAAGTTGTTAGGAAGTATAGTATTAGAGTCCATTGGGCGACTTGATACTTTCATATTTTCTCGACGTTTCATGACCTCTAGACAGCGCCGTAGCTAGGGGGAGGCCAAGAGAAATTTTTGCCTCCCCTAGACAAGTTATAATTAACCACTTGTGAATTACAACATCGAAAATCAAAATAAATTGCAATGTTTTATTTAATAAGCGGAAGTCACAGCAATAAAGAAGTTTGGACCGGTTATTGCAATTCGTAGAAAATGTCGTTTAGTTTCGTTTCTCTGCTTCAGTCTCACGCGTATCACTATTTGTCTTAAAATGCGAGTACTTATAAATGCTTTTTAGTTCAATTGCACCTCTGCTACTACTCATGGCGAACGTGATTAAATTGTTTCGTTATTTTATTGATTAAATCAAGATTCAAGAACGACTAAGTAATTTTAAAAGTGACTAAATTACTCAAAAAAGTAATTCGTTGCAATTACTCATTACTTGAAAAGGAATTGAATAACAGTAAAAAATTATTTGTAATTGAATTACTTCCAACCATTGGTAGTAGCTCTCGTGTAATTTAAGTAATAGATTTATTGATACTTACATTTTTCAGTAAGTTAATTAAACGTGTTTTTTTATTTAAATGTTCGATTAGCAAGAATAACGAATTTTATCATTTTTGAACTTTGAGATTTTACAAATATTATTTCTATTACAAATTCAAAAACTTTTATTTATAATGAAAAAACCACTGTGAACATGCCTTGTTTACAGAATTTATCAAAAGAAGAACGCCAACCCTATGAAGCACGCGCTCAAGTAGCTAGAGACACATACCAACCCACCAAACTTACAACTGATGGATTAGAGATTGAGGAAGTTGAAAGAAAAGAAAAAGAACAGGTTGGTAAAATACAAGACATGAAAAATGATATCACCAGAACCCTGAAGGCTGCAAGTTTTGCTATGAGTATGAAGGAAACATAATATTTTACAAATCTATTACAAAATATACTTTCCAGATCTAGATGAGCACATGTTTTTAATAATTCACATAAACCATTTGACTCATTATCCTAATGAAGATAGATTTTTTATCTGTGAGATCGCCATTGCAGCATTAAACCTAAAGAATGGAATAGAAGAAGTTTACCATAGCATCGTAAAACCTGGTTTGAAAAAGTTCTTTTATATTTTTGACTCTTCTCATTTTTATTTCTTTTTATTAGGAAAACTTCCTCTCGGATTTTATGGAGGCGCACTAGCTCACTCCAAAGAAACCCATCAATTAATTGATCTTGCTCAAGAAGATCCATGTCAAGACAATACCCAAGAGGTTTTCGGGGAGGTCACACAATTTCTGGTACAATTGCGCATTGTTTGTTTTGTGAACTGAAATTTCTGTTTTTTAGAAAAAGTATCGGAATAACCACAGTCCATTAATTGTGTATGCAGATGACAAAACTTTTGACATGACGACGAATGTAATAAATAATTTCCGCGACGATTTTCGATTTGATGAAGAGATTAAAGTGTACAACCTTCAATACATGTTTTTTGCATTAAGAAATGCAGTGGCTGGGAAAACTGTGTGGCAGACCGAAACTTTCGCTTTTAGTGAACTAGAAAAGGACGTATACAGTTACACTCCAAATATCGCCTGTGCTGTAAGTTTATTATAAAAACATTCTTGTAACTAACAGTGATGTTTTAGTTTCACGAAATGTCAGATATCTCTATTTACTGTAGTAAATCGTTTGTTACAAGATACTGTTACACAATATGCGATCACTGTTGTGCAGAGCTGAGAATTCAACTCGTACCTGGTTTCCATGTACCTAATAAGAGTAGGGTCGTTACTGAATCTAGAAGCGCATCAAAGGATCCGTCAGTTTATAGCAATGATGATTCTCGAAGTGTAATACTATCACTATTTTTATTTAATATAGCTTTCAAAATGTTTTCTAGGCCCATAGCGCAAGAGTCAACAATTCACTTAGTTCCACCTCATATGACGATGATTACCCTGCACTAGCAAGCAAATCTAGCGTAAATGTGGTATTCTTTAATAGACATATTTTTATGTGGAGGTTATTTTAGGCTTCATCTGTAGTTAGTTTTTCCTCTATGAAAACTGTAAAGAGTGCGTCTACCCCAAAAAAGACTGCTGCAAGACTAGGTATACAAGGAACGTCCTGAGTTGTGTCGTTATTTAATTTTAATCATTTTAGAACAATCATTTAAAGCCCTGTCTTTGAAGGAAGCGGCAAAGCGTGACCATGGAGATTTAGCTTTTCCAAAGCACGGGACAACCAGAAATCGCAATAATTTTTGAAATTTAAACATGTTTGAATTTTTTACTTACTGCAGAGTTTATAGGAATACGTTTTGGTTACCATTCATGTTAATTTGTAACTTGTTAAATAACGAGATTAAATGAATATTTTAATACTTTTTTTTTAAAGCGTACCTATAATAATTGTTGGACTGCAGCAAGCATATGTTTGTATGTTGGCGTTTTTGATAAAATTTCTAAAAAAAAATATGTAAACTATTAAAAGAATAGTCAATGTTTCAACTAGATTTAAGTTGGGAGTTCTTGAGTTGTAATAGTTTTGTCACATAATTTGGCAGTTTACTAGTGCTTCTGCTTTATAAAATCACGGATTTAAAATTTGGTATACCTTTTTCGTAATCTTACTAACTGTTATTCCAGTTTAACGGAACTCAACTGACAAACGAAAAGTTATAAAACAGCCTCCGTCTGTTAAGAATCATAACGTCAATCGTTAAGGACCACGCATTTTTAAAATAAGAACAATTTATTATACCTAATGTACAATATATCTATTTATTGTAATGAATATCAAAATTGAATTTACGGCCGATAGTACTGGAAATTTGTAACCCGTCAATACGAATGTGATCACTAGCAGTGGTAACAAAATTTGAAGATACTGTACTGTAACTGCTCATTCTCACAAAAATAAATTTCAACATTAACGACGTACCTTCACGTAAGCTAGCAATACATTTTGATTAATCAATAATTCGTTTTGCGCCACTCCATGAGATCTTCATATTTTTTCTAATATCGGCGTTTAGTTCTTTCCAAAGGCAAATCCACGATTGCTCTACACGATTCTTTTAACACATCAGGCGAAATTTTTAAAATTTCTTCAATTTAAAGTTTTTACACGTTTCGTCGTCGAAGCGAACAGTCCTAGTTAGGTATATACCATTATACAAAATTTTAAGCACAAATTGCGGTGATTTTTTTATTATATTTTTCCGCTAAAAATTGAAGTTTTGTTCCAAGAACTAAAGAATGACATTTTGAAATTTATTGCTTTAACTTTAACCGAGTTCTTCCAATAGTTTGGTCTGGAATATTGCTAAGAATAACGCATAATTAAATTTTGCTGTTTTTTACATTCGTAAGGACTATGTTGGCAGAGGAAGTGGGCACCATTTCCTGAATTCTTAAGGCCAGTGGTTACGTTTTCTATATGGAGTTTTTGGGAGACGAGACGTTTTCAGAATTTAATATCTCCAATTAACAAATTTACGATATGAAATTTTAAATATAAGCTGTCCATAACTTTCTGTATATAACGCAATGTATTTTTTTAAATTTAATGACATTTTTGCATAACGTAGGTATGTTTTAAAATCAATACTAATTTATTTAAGGAAATTTCGGAACATGGTTTTCAACACTGTTTTCAGCTTACAAAACTCCAAAAATCGTATTGAATCGAATTTTTTTGATAGAAAGGATAGTTTGTGTTGTAGAAACTGCTATTTAAACGTTTATTTTTACCATATTTCACTTCCAACAAATAAAGTCGAAAACATGTCTGGTACAATTTACAAAGTTTTGTAAGCTGAAAACAATGATGAAAACCGTGGTCCACAATTTCAATAAATAACTGAAATACGTTAATTTTTTAAAATACGTGATGCAAAAATTTCAACAAACTTTAAAAACTACATGTATGATAATAAACTGTTTAAAAAAACTGTCCTCGCATCATGTGGCGAAAGTTGTGGACAGATTATATTTAAAATTTCATATCAATAAATGTGTTAATAATGGAGATTTTACATCCTGAAAATATTTTGCCAACACCATAAAAGCCTCTTAAATAAACTTAAAGAATGAAGTAGGTATAATACTATAAAATATTTACGATAATTTTACCAAAGCGTAATAACTAATAAATTAGCCCAACCTAAAGATTTATATAAAACTTCCATAGTTTGAATTATAGACCAACGCGAAGCAGAAAATAAATGATACGTAAAATTTACATGAGTTGAGCGTGTAATAACAAAGTATTTATTTTTTTAAGAAAATAAAAACATGAAAACCTTAATATGGGATTTATATTTACCTATATGACTATACAAAGCTTTTCTGTCTAATAAACAATAACCAGTATCTATTATGGTAGGTAAACCTATGGTTTATTGATTTTACTACGATATTTAATTTGGTTCATAAATAAGTATTTAATTTCTTTCCCTAACGCTAATTCGTGGCTCATTTGAAGTCTGTTAAAATATAGACAATTTTCTCTAACATAAAGAATGTCGTCAACTTTGGTAACCTACTTTATAGCTACACTGCAGCATTTAACATTTAAGTAAGGTTTGTTCTTTTCATGTTTGTTAATAACACTGTTGTAGGTGATATATGCAGTACCTAAAACAGTGATGAACCTAAAACATGCCATTTAAATTATTGTGTTTATCTCCTGGTGCATGGTACAAGCAGAGATAACAGAGATGTGACAGCTTTTGAATGCTCCATAAGAAATGCATGGGAGCGAAGTGAACACAGAATTTGACGTAAAGGACGGTTGGGGGCACAACATTTGTGGTGGTAAACCTGATATCCTAACATGTATGTTAAATGCAGAGATTTCTTAGTAACCTTAGTTACTAAGAAATCTCTGGTTAAATGTTACTAAATATATTACTAGTAAAAGTGACATAACGAACGAAAACACGAACTCTGAGATAACCTCAATTAAATATGATGCGATGGTTTCAAATTATAAAAGAAAAGTCATGTTAACTGCATATGTATGTATGTATTTATTACAGTTACATACATTTTAACAAACAATATACTATTGGTAAGTACAGGAATAGTTCTATAAAAATAACATCGATAAGTAAACCGATGATTTTCTGCAGTTATAATTAATTATTAATCGATGGAACTGGCAAATGCTCTATAAATGGGACAAAATGATTCATTTCCTCTGTTTTTTAGGTTGCTTCTGTAGTTCCCTATTATGGAATTTCAATGTATAAAATATACGTAATCGCACAAATAATGACAAAAGGTAATCAAGGGGGAGATTACTACATGGATGCTATTAAGGCCAGCTGATTTTTAAGTTGTCTAGGAACTTGAAGCAAAAGTGTATTATGTTCAAATGAACTACTGAAGGCATTTTCTAATTGTTCAATGTAATATGCAAACTGTTCATACGGAACATTAAGATTGCCATAAGATAAAGTTTCAGAATAGTGGGCTTGGAAACGACAATAATGTAGTCTCTAGAATTTCTGCCACATGCATTTGTATATTCACAGCATATCTGAGAAGAGTGTTTTAAGCATGCATCCACTGAGTATCCACATATTTATCGTAAGATATTTTGTTCAGCTGAACCAAACTCTTTGTACTCTATCCTATGTATTTTTAGTGCATTATGAGGTGGTTGGGAATTATTAATTATGGTGGTCTCACTTAAATTGGAGATATCTTCATTAGCAGATAAGAATTGTGGTGTGATCAGATGATTAAAACAGGACTTGCGTTCGTGGTGTATTTATTTTTTATGTTGTCGGTTCAGTATATAAGGGAAAAGTGTTAGAGTCTGTGATTTTGAAAATGAAAAAACAGGTCGGTAGAGAGCGGTGAAACGGTTGTGTCGAAAGGGTTCTTAGAAGGTACTCGAAATCTTCGAAGGATAAGAATTATTGGGAAGGGCGAACAAAAGATAGGTTTTACGACATGCAGGTGGACGAAGTGAGTGAAAGTTTCAGGGTGATAGTGGTTGGAAGTCAATAAATACAGACTATATACAAATATTACATGTTGCACAATTTTGTGGGATTTGTTAGCCCCCACAAAATGTTGCTAAATCAATAGCACAATTACCAGTTGGGTTGTGCTGCATATATTTTATACAGAACAATAGCTTGTATTTGCTTATATTTTAATAAAGTGTGATGCAAATAACTATTAATAATATGAGGATAAAAATAGTTTTATTAACACCCGCACAGAACTAAAAGTGACTAAAGTCATCTTCGCAATGAAAAGGTAACATTCAATATTGTAACTGTATTTGTACCCCTTAAAGTGTCGTCCTTGAATTTCAACGTTAGGTTGTAATAACAATCGTCGAATGGGCTAGAGGGTACTTTTATTATTATCTTCGCTATAAAATTGTACAGTTTGTGTTGTGTATGCACATTTTAGAGTTTTAAAGGATAAGAAAAGTTAATACAAGCATCTTGAGTAATTTAATGTTTTTTTTTATCCATTTACTATTAATCAGGATGTAAACATTACAAAAGCACCAACAAATGTTAGATGTAATATTTACAATCATTTTTCGAATAAACTTAATGATTGTAATTTTTTTAATCTTGTCTTTTTCCATTTATGAGGAACCTAGTATTTTTGGAAGAAAGATTAACCACTTTTGGTATATTCTTACGATTGGAAATATCCCTGGTAATCAAATAGCCGCGCTACGAAAGTTTCACTTCAATTTAAATAGCGCGCCCGAAAGTGACGGTTTGGGGCACAGTACGTAAGGACTATTGTCGCTTAATTTTGCGAGCTGTCATATCTCTATTATCTCTGGTACAAGTCATCACTGGTGTTACATACAAACGATTGTGCCAAAAATCTTGAAGCCAACACGTGTTTTATAATAATTGACCTTGCTTTTTACTGTTAATAGATAAACATTATCTAAAATAGTTGTCTTATTATTATTATTATTTTCTACATTAAAAAATAAATAAATTTGAGGCTGCCATCTGTCGGATTCTATTTGTAATAATTGTTAACATTTTTGGAGGGAAATAATTTAATTTTAACCTCAAATGTCGTGTCAACAGTGCGCTTTTTAAACAACAAAACACGGTTCATTTTTAGTTTGTAATTATTATGGAAGCTCCTGAAGAATTCGATTTTCCTTTTCAACCGTACTCAATACAACATAATTTTATGAAATGTTTATATGATGTCATCGAAAATAAAAAATTGGGAATATTTGAAAGCCCAACTGGAACTGTTGGTATGTAATTAAGCTGGAACAATGATAAAATCTCGAATTTCAGGGAAAGTCACTTAGTATCATCTGTGGAGCGATTCGCTGGCTTAAAGATCACAATAATTACGAAAGGGAATGGCTCGAAAGTCAAATTATTGAGCTGCAAAATCAAAAATGCAAAGTCTCGTCAAATACTAGTGACTGGTTGTCAACCCAGTCACAAGAAATCGAGTTAACACGTAAAATTAATGAATTAAAGATTCAGCACAATAGAATAATCGATTATGATACAAAAATGGAAAACTTGAAAAAGAAAAAAAATGACATTCATAAAAAGAAGTTAATAAAAAGAGAAGTAATAGTGGAGAAAGAGAAAAATGACGACGATGATGACATTGTACTTGAGGTGGGGAATAACGCAGATGAAGAAGAAGAAAGTGAAGAATGTGAAAGTAAATATAAACCAACAAAAGTAATTTTATTTTGTAATTTTCATATTCTGTATAGTTTGTTTAGATTTTTATTTGCAGCAGAACTCATTCTCAATTAAGTCAGTTTGTGGGAGAAATTCTCAAGTCACCCTTTGCTAAAGATCTAAGAGTTGCTTCGTTAGCGTCTAGACAGACGTATTGCATAAATCCTAATGTTAACAAGTTAAAGAACAGTTCTTTAATAAATGAAAAATGCCTTGATAAACAGAAAAAGTTAACAAAATCAAAAACTGATGTAGATGGTAGGGTTGTGAAAAAACAAAAAGGCGAAAATTCCAAGTGTCCATACTACAAACAAGGCCCTATTGAAGATCTGAAAGATTTAACATTAACAGAAGTTCTAGATGTAGAGGATTTGGTCAAAAATGGTAAACAACTAAATGCTTGTCCTTATTATTCCAGTAGATTAGCAGCAGAAGATGCAGAAGTTGTTTTGGTTCCTTATAATACAATTCTTCACAAAGCTACAAGAGAAGCTAATGGTAAGTGAGAAATAAAAGTTAGCAAAAAGTAAAGTACAGAAACGTTTAAGGAATTGATTTAAAGGGTAGCGTTATAGTAATTGATGAAGCTCATAATTTACTGGAGGCAATGGCTCAAATGCATAACTCTGAAGTAAATTACAATCAAATAGATCAAGGTTTACTTCAAGTGAAATGTTATAAGCAAAGGTTTCATGCTCGTTTTTCACCATCAAATTTACTGTCAATTAATCAGCTTATCTTTGTTATGACCAAGTTGCAACAGCTATTGGGTATGGTCTTAAAAATACTTACTTGTTAATGCCCAGATTAAACTATTTTAGAGAAGAGTAACCAAGTTAAGACGAACACTTTTACCGTTGAGAATTTTGTTGTAACTGCAAAAATTGATAATTTTAATATGTTTAGGTTGTTAAAATTTTGTAAGGAAAGCCGTATTGCTCAAAAGGTATGTTGTAGATTGCAAATTTTTCTCTGGTTGTATTACTGGTTGCATGCGTCACTAAATTCCAAATAATTTTTAGGTACGTACTTACGCACTTAAATACCCTTTCGATAAAGGTATTGTCGAAAAACCGACGAAAAAAGGCATTCGTGATTTTCTCTCATCGATTGGAAACAAAAATGAAACCCAAACTGAAATAGCGGACGAGAAGGCGTCTCAATTTTCTTTAACTAATCCTCTCCTTGCCATAATTTCATTCTTGGAATCACTTACGTACTCCTACAGTGATGGTCGTATTTTTATTCATAATAACGATGACAACACGAAAACGAAGTTACAGTTTTTACTTTTAAACCCTTCGCAGAATTTTCAAGATATCGTTAAACTTGCGCGCTCGGTCATTGTTGCTGGAGGAACGATGAAACCAAGTGGCGAATTTAAAAATCGTCTGTACATTAATTCAGGCGCACCACTTGAACGTATTGTCGAATTTTCATGTGATCATATTATTCCACCAGAAAATATTTTGCCGATTATAATAACAGAGGGGCCAAACAAGGAGAAATTAATATTTAACTATGAACAAAGAATGACAATGGTTTGGAGAGTTCTTTATTTTATAATTCCAGCTATTTATTGTGAAGTTGTAGGGCGGCAGCATAAAGGAGATAATACGCGAAACTTGTAAATCAGTTAGAGGCGGGATTGTTGTGTTTTTTCCGTCGTATAATTACGAAAATTGGGTATGGCAACAGATTAAAGATTTCTCTTTTGGTAGAACGGTTTTCCGCGAACCTCATGATTCTAGTTCTGTGGATTCAGTGTTAAAGTCGTATGCTGATGCCATTCACAAGTCAGGAAATGCGCTACTGCTGAGTGTAGTTGGTATATTTTTTTATCACTTGTTTGTTGTTTTTTTTTTTATAACAATTTGCGTTAGGTGGGAAACTGAGCGAGGGTTTAAATTTCAGCGACGATTTAGGAAGATGTATTATTGTAGTAGGGCTACCGTATGCTAACATAACGGCCCCAGATTTGAAAGAAAAAATGACATATTTAGATAAAACAGAGGTGCAGTATGGTAAAGATATTAAATTATTATGACTAATTAGATTATAGGGTTCTGGAGCTGGAAAAATGTTTTATGAAGGGATGTGTATGAAAGCAGTTAATCAATCAATAGGAAGAGCTGTAAGGCACAAAAACGATTATGCCACTATTTTATTGTTGGATGAAAGATATAGCCGCACACCAGTCAAAGAGGCATTACCTGACTGGATTAAGAAGTCTTTAAAATTGTTTAGGTATAAGGAAGCATTTGAAAATATGCAAAAGGTAGGGTAGAAGTTGATATTTGAAATTATTACGTTATTTATAATGGATAATTTTTAGTTTTTTGAAGAGAAAAAAGTCTGATAAGCATTGAACACGTATTATAAATTTTTATATCATGAACGTGGGCAACCGATCTTACGATACAGATGTATATTCGGTTGCCTATAGTTAAATTGAAATTACTTATTTAGTGTCTTGAGTGATATAAAATTGTAAAATTAAAAATATTATACTAATAAAATATATTACAGATTTAATAAAGAAAATTGTAGAACTAAAATCAATATTGACCACATGATTATGTCTCATTGTTTTTACGTTTTACATGCAAAGAAAATCTAAAAAAAAGTTAATTGTTTATAGTTTGTTTTTTAAAAGTTTGAAGTAATGTAAAAATAAAATTTTAGAATTGTAAAGATAATTCCACCTAATCTGCGGAAAAAAACAGAACCCCGAACAAGAGCCTCCGTGGCGCAATCGGCTAGCGCGTTCGGCTGTTAACCGAAAGGTTGGTGGTTCGAGCCCACCCGGGGGCGCACTTTTTTTTGTTGAATTAGCACAAGAGTGCTTTTATCACATCAGTGTTCGTAGAAGTTATAAAAATTATTAACCAAAACAGATGTTTTACTAAAGATGACGGAAACGTAATTTATATCAGTATCAACGAAAGCTTTTTTCTTCGGCGTGTTATCTATACCACAGTTTTCGGTGATTGTTTAAGTGTGTTGTAAATCGTAGACATTATGGTAATATGTAGAAGAAAACCAAAATGACTTCGAAATAAAATTTTATACGTATCTACTTAAGTGCCATTGTCTTTGTTTGTTTTACCTATATAGGTATCTACTTTTTACATTTTCTGTAAAACTGCCAGAATTATTTTTTTGATTTTATGGATTTCTTAAGTCTAAAAAAAGCAAGTACCTTGTTTCAAACAGAAAAGATACATTTTTATGATGTCACATATGTTTGTATTCATTTGGTTTTCTATAAAATTGTACTTCAGTTGGATCCAAAAAAATTGTACTACGCTGTTGGAACGCAAATGACCCTTTTATTAAGTTTGTTAAGAGATTGATATATCCTCGAAGTTTCACGTTTAGATATTTTTTATAAATAATATATGTATATCTGTTTTTTCATCCAATATAACATAGGACGTCTTCTACAGATTATTCGTTCGAAACATCAAGAAGAATGCCATTTGTTTAGCATAAAGTAACGTGTTATTTTTTTTATTTTTAGCATTAATAGAATTATTTTCATACAAAATCATAAATACATTTTTCTTTCAGTGTTAAAAATATTTACCAACAAAAATTGACGTCTAACTTTATTTAATTGGAGTTGTAATGCGAATATTTTTATTTCACTTTTTTGAAAAAGCAGAAAAAGGCCCAAGGGTACATAGCAACCGTAACTTAAGGTAGATCATTTTCAAGTTAATCCACTCTTTTTTTTAAGTAATACTTTTTTTTTAAATCCTTAATATAAACAACGACTTTTAGTTATTGTTATTTTTTACCAAAGTTTAATTGCCATTTTTTTTTCAAAAAGCCTATTGTACACATAGTTACATGTCCAGTAATTGCTAATAGTTATTAAAATAAACTAAACAAGAAAAATTTAATTAATGAAATAATAGAAATGTCGCCAATATAAATTTCTAATAATGACAACAATAAAAGAAAAGTTATTTAATTAAAATTATATAGTTAAATTCACAAATTAAATAAATTTGAAACAACTGGGCATATAAAATACTCACTTTAAACTGTTTTTCTTCGCGAGCTAAATAAGTATAGTAATCGAGTCCATCTGACGAATTGCTGCTTTCATATTTTCTCAAGGTTTCATAATCCCTAAAATACGAAAAAAGTGATTCCATCTGCATGTCTGTCTGTCTGTTTGTCTGGTGTCTGTATCGATTTTTATTGGTCACGTAATCTCCGAAACTACTGGACCGATTGTTGCCAAATTTTGTATGTATTTTAGAAATATCATGTAGATGGTCAAACGCTAACCAAAGTTTTTCCAATCATCCCACAATCAATGTGATAACAACCCCTCAAAATTTTTCATAGTAAGTAGGGTTTACATTTTTTAACATAATATATTTCTGTATTTGTTCTTTATGAATCCGTCTTTAGATTTCCCCAGAGCATTCAAATTTTCGCAAACAAATCGAAATTGTACCACAGACTTTTATACTAGTATAAGCGGGGTGCATACAAGGTTGTTACGTAGCCGAGTACGCCGAATGTTTGGTTTCAAACATATAATGCGAAAATCGTTTACGGTTCGCATGTCGCTTTTGTTTTTTTATGTTATTAATGCTCTATTATCTATTTTTTTTTATTGATCAAACAAAAGCTCCAGGGTTTTATTATTAGTATTATAGTTTTGGAAATTTCATTGTACCTTATAAAATTTTATCGGCAATAACGAGACGAACAGTAGTACAGTAACAAGAAATATTTACAACTTAAGTTTTCGCGTGCCGGTAATCCCCAGATGTTAGAAAGCAGAATAATCCAGGTCCGGACAGGGACCATCGTTACTCATGAACGGAAATGACCATTATTTTATAAGTACAAATACCTGCTAAATGTTCTCAGACAAATTCGAGTGAACTGGTGTGAGCCATAAATATTTCTTACCATTGTACTACTGTCCGTTTCGTTATCGTCAATAAAATTTTATAGGGTAGAATGAAATTTCCAAAAATTATACACTATATGTGGGAATTGACAGACGTGTCCTAGGTGAAATACCCTAAAATCGCGCGTATAGTCCGCCCCCGAGCATAGTCCGCCCTCACGTATAGTCCGCAGTTTTTAAATCTTCCTCCTAAAAATCAGATAGTCCGCAACCTCGCGTATAATCCGCGGACAATGTGCGTGTCTGTATGGTTCGATAAGGTTCGATATTTGCTATTTAGGTACCTAAATTTAAGTATCTAGGTACTTTTGAGAATCTTTTTATTTTTGTTATATATTTTATTTTTCATTTATATTGAGAATGCCCAATAATTTTTTTTATTTTGCGTTTAAATTTTTGGTTGGTTTTCCTACAGCGTATAGTCCGCCCTCGCCTATAGTCCGCCCTGCATATAGTCCGCACCCGGCGTCAGGGAAAACAACGTATAGTCCGCGGACTATACGCGCGATTTTAGGGTAATGTTGATCGAAACATTCTCAACTGGGAAAACTCACTAAATACTGTATCAAAATGTGTTAAAATTAACGGTTGTTAAAAATAAACACTCAGTCAGATTTACGAATTTAACTATGTTACTATTGGAAATTTAACACCCTTTAAATTTAACAAGTTGTTACAGAATTGCACCTACAGATTCTACCTTTATCAACGTATCTTGTAGCAGTTGTTAATCCGTTTCGTGTTATATTTATTATTCCAGATAAAATAGAACCAAGTGTGTTTTCGTAACATAATGCGCGCGAGGTAATTAAAGTATTAAAGCTCTACGAAAATCTGAGAAAAAATGCATCGAGTATCATTAAAAAAAAGTTCGATGTCTTAGGCAAACAAGAAAAAAAAATAGAATGTTAAAACACATTAATTTATAGGATGTCATTTAGCTTTTTACACTGCTACTGGTATCAGTGGCGGCTCGTGACCTTTTGAAAGGGGGGGACACAATTTGATTGATGAGTTAAATATGAAGATATAAAACAGGTTGTTATTACTAATTAATAGACGAAATTGTGTGACGGAAATAAATACAAAAATACATTCAATAAAAGTAAAAAAGGATTTCTCCACATACCTTTCTGCCTTCGGTTAAAATTTTACGTTCATGGCATCTAAAAGCTCATTTTGAACAGTTTTAGGCGTTCTTTAAAAACCGTTGCTTCTTTCAAATGATTTGATAAAACAGAGTCCAATTCAGGCGTAAAATTGTGATTCCTTACTTTTGTCATGTCCACGTAAAGCAAGTTCAAACACTGCACAAAATTGTATGCATATTATCAATCGGCGTAATATATGGCGATTTTTGTCGACCCTTGCGTTATGTCCCCGAATATTATTAATATAGGCGGTGTGTAGTTGTTTCCGAATGTCTGCATTACCGAGAAGATTATCCAAGGATATTTATCATACGTGTTTGCGCAGAGTGAAAATTAAAACCCGCGATAGTAACTCAATCCTGCCGAGCACGGTCGGAACAGGGACCGCGGCTACGACGTGTGGTTTCCATGGCAACGGTGTAAACAAAACATCTTGGACTTGGTCTTTACAAATGTGTCTGATTTAGTAGTTAGTTCTGCTATTGATCCCATGTTTGACAATAGCTTGCATCATATTTCTTACTCCTGGTTGATTTCGGTTGTTCATAATGATTCCTTGGAAACGGAATTTTTGATATATGATTATAGGAATGGCAATTATATTTTATTGAATGATTTTCTTGCTTCCATAAATTGGGATAGATGTTTGGAAGGAATAGGGTTGGATGAGATGATATCGATCTTTTATGATATTTTAAATGTTGGTATGGAAGCTTATATTCCAAAGAAAGTTATAAGAATGAAACCATCTAAATATCCAAAGTGGTTCAGTCCTGAATTGAGAATACTTTGTCATAAAAAAGTTCAAGCTCATGCTAAGTTTAAACAATCAAATAATATAAATGATTACTTATACTTTAAAAGTTTGAGATCCAAATGCAAGTTACTTTCCAAGGACCTATACAAATCTTACATGACAAAAGTTAACACTTCTGTTATTAACAATCCAAATTTCTTTTGGAAATTTATTCGAGAGAGAAAAGCCGTTAATAATATTCCAAATGTAATGTCTTACTTAAATGAAACGGTACATAGTGGTAAAGAAATTTGTAAATTGTTTGCACAATTTTTTTCATCGGTTTACAACAAGAGTGATGCTTCTAATGTACATCGGAATATTCAATTAAATGATGAAGTTTCGGACAACGGCCTTACAGTTACTATTAAAGACATATTTGATGCTATTACTTCTCTAGACGATTCATCAGTTGCAGGACCTGACAACATAAGCAATGTATTAGTAAAAAAATGTGTATGCACCCTATCTAGACCATTATATAAAATATTCAGCATGTCATTGAAGAGTGGTAAATTTCCTGAAATTTGGAAGCTGAGTTACATTAAGCCTATTTTTAAAGCGGGACATCACAGTAAAGTAGAAAATTAC